TCATAATACCAGATATCAAGCTATATTACAAAGCCACTGTTCTCAAAACTGCCTGGTACTGGCACAAGAACAGACATATAGATCAATAGAATAGAATAGAGAACCCAGAAATCGACCCAAGCCATTATGCTCAATTAATATTTGACAAAGGAAGCAAGAGCATACAATGGAGTCAAGACAGTCTCTTCAATAAATGGTGTTGGGAAAATTGGACAGATACATACAAAAATAATGAAACTAGACCACCAACTTACACCATACACAAAAATAAACTCAAAATTGATAAAGGACTTAAACATAAGATGGGAAACCATAAAAATCTTAGAACAATCCATAGGCAGCAAAATATCAGACATATGTTGTGGCAATATCTTTACAGATATGGCTCCTAGGACAATGGAAACTAAGGAGAAAATAAACAAATGGGACTAAATCAAAATAAAAAGCTTCTGCACAGCAAAAGAAACCATCAACAAAACAACAAGAAAGCCTACTGCGTGGGAGAACATATTTGCCAATGTTATCTCCGATAAGGGCTTAATCTCCAAAATTTACAAGGAACTCATACAACTTAACAAAAGGAAGATACCAGTAAACAATCCAATCAAAAAATGGGCAAGGGACCTAACTAGACACTTTTCGAAAGAGGACATACAGAAGGCCAAGAGACATATGAAAACATGCTCAAAGTCACTAATCATCTGAGAGATGCAAATCAAAATGACAATGAGGTACCCTCTCACACCTGTCAGAATGGCTATCATCAACAAATCAACAAACGACAAGTGCTGGTGAGGATATGGAGAAAAAGCAACCCTCCTGCACTGCTAGTGGGAATGCAGACTGGTGCAGCCACTATGAAAACAATATGGAGTTTCCTCAAAAAGTTAAAAATGGAACTGCCATTTGACCCAGTAATACCACTTCTAGGAATATATCCCAAGAAAACAGAAACACCAGTCAGAAAGGATATATGCACCCCTATGTTCATAGCAGCACAATTTACAATAGCTAAGATTTGAAACAGCCTAAATGCCCATCAGCAGATGAGTGGATTAGAAAACTGGTACATCTACACAATGGAATACTACGTTGCTGTAAAGAAAAAAAAGAAGGAATTCTTACCATTTGCAACAGCATGGATGGAACTGGAGAGCATTATGCTAAGCGATATAAGCCAGTCAGTGAAAGATAAATACCACATGATCTCACTCATTTGTGGAATATAAAGAACATTATTAACTGATAAACAAAAATAGTTACAGAAGCAAAGAAGCATTGAACAGACTGTCAAACTACAGCAGGAAGGCAGGGAAGGGTTGGGGGAGGGTAAGAAATTAACCAGAGGACTTATATACATGCATATAAACATAAACAATGGACACAAGACACTGGAGCGTGGGGGATAAGGGCATGTGCGGGGGGTGGAGGGGTGGTCATGGGGGAGGCTGGGGGGAGGTCAATGGGACATATGTATTATTATTTTTAATACTTTAAACAAAATAAAATTTAAAAAAATAAAAATTGAAATCCCATTTGACCCAGTAATCCCACTTCTAGGAACATATCCCAAGAAATCAGAAACACCAATCAGAAAGGATATATGTACCTCTATGTCCATAACAGCACAATTTACAATAGCTAAAATTTGGAAACAGCCTAAGTGCCCATCAGCAGAGGAGTGGATTAAAAAATGGTGGTACATTTACACAGAGGAATAATAATAATAATAAAGAAGGAATTCTTACCATTTGCAACAGCATGGATGGAACTGGAGAGCATTATGCTAAGTGAAATAAGCCAGTCGGAGAAAGATAAATAATACATGATCTCACTCATTGTGGGATATAATGAACAACATAAACTGATGAACAAAAATAGAGCCAGAGAAAAAAAATATTTTAGAATATAATAGAAGTAATCCTGTTATTTGCAGATTTTTAATATTTCCTACAACTTTTGTAATATTATACTATATTAGTACAGTTTGGGTAATATTATTATATCTAAAATATTTTTTCTTTTAAAAAAAAAGAACCTTCTATGTGGGATACCAAAATACACACTCTACACTCAAAAGAATGATTAAGATGCCAGGAAAAAGAAACTCCAACAGTATTTAGTGATAGAAGAAATACCTACAAGAAAAATAAAATTTCTGTGACTCCTTGAAGAGATCAAAGTAATTAGTAAATGACTCTCTGACTTATAAAAATAAGGCAAATTTTTCAACAATTAAGATTTGTGTTTCATTTTTAAAACTCTGGTAAAATACACATAACATAAAATTTACCATTTTAAAGTATACAATTCAGTGGCATTTAGTGCATTCACAATGTGGTGCAACCACCTTTCTAGTTCCAGAATATTTTTATCACCCCAACAAGAACCACATATGTGTTAAGCAGTCACTCCTCATCCTCTCTCCTGGAGTCCTGGGCAACCACTAACTAGTCTGCTTGTCTCTGTGAGTTTGCATAATCTGGATAGTTCATATAAATGAAATAATATAATATGTAGCCTTTGAGCCTGACTTCTTTTTCACACATAACGTTTTTAAGGTTTGTCCATGTTGTAACATATATTAGTACTTGATCCTTTTTATGACTGATGATATTCCACTGTGTAGATATGTAACACTTTGTTTATCCAGTCATTCTATTGGCTATTGTGAATAATGCTGCTATGATCATTTTGTACAAGTTTTCTTTGAACACTCGTTTTCAATTCTTTTGGAAATATAACTATTGAATAGAATTGCTGGGTTACATAGCAATTATGTTCAATTTACTGAGGAATTGCCAAGCTGTTCTAAGCAGCCACACCATTTTATTCACCTACCAACAATGTATGAGGGGTCCAACTTCTCCACATCTTCACTAACACTTGTTATTTTCCTTTTTTATTAGTAGATAATGTGCTAGCTCACTGTGGTTTTGATTTGCATTTCCTAAGGACTAGTGCTGTTGAACATCTTTTCATGTTTGTTGACCATGTGTCTGTCTTCTTTGGATAAAGTCTATTCAAGCCCTTTGCCAATTTTTAATTGGATTGTTTGTCATTTGGTGACACAAATAGGAATGTAATCTTAAAATTATGTCAAGAAAGATACATTCCTAGGTTATGGTAAAATAGCAGAATGGAATGAACAGTGCAAGACCCTACCTACAGGAAGGTCTTTCCTTAACTACTATTATGTGGTACTGTACAGAAACATAGTAGTAGGGCACTCTTAAATGACCTTTAGAAAGCCTCACATGCTTGTATACTTGGCAAAAATGCTTTACCAAACCTACCATTAAACATATTCCCCTTCCTTGTAGATGCTTCTCTCCCCCTTGCTTTAATATATATATATATATATTTAATCCTCACCCAAGGATATTTTTCCATTGATTTTTAGAGAGAGTGGAAGAGAGAGGGAAAGACAGAGAGAAATATCAATGTGAGAGAAACACATAGATTGGTTGCCTCCTGCACGAGCCCCAACCAGGGCCAGAGCAGGGAGGAGCTTGCAATCGATCACCTGGGACCCTTCAGTCCTCAGGCCAACACTCTGTTCACTGAGCCAGACCAGCTAGAGCTCCCTCCCCCTTGCTTTAAGCAATTTCTTACAGTTGCCATTAACCAAATTTCACCTGTATGTAAAGATTTCTGTAAATGACTTTGTGTTTGGTTTTATATACCTAAGACTGATCCTATGATTTTAATACAACCATACACAGAAATATTGCTTTATGTATAATCTCATTACATTTTAAAATCTGTTTTCTCTTTATATTAACAACTAGGGGCCCGGTGCACGAAATTCGTGCACTGGGGGGGGGGGAGTGTCCCTCAGCCCAGCCTGCCCCCTCTCACATACTGGGAGCCCTCAGGCGTTGACCCCCATCACCCTCTGATCGCCTGATCGGCCCCTTGCCCAGGCCTGACGCCTCCACCAGAGGTGTCAGGCTTGGACAGGGGACTCCCATCTCCCCCCGATCACTGGCTCTGGCCCCCACCCAGGCCTGAGGCCTCTGGCCCAGGAATCATGCCTGGGCAGGGGACCCCCATCTCCCTCTGATCGCTTGCTCCACCCCCCGCCCAAACCTGACGCCTCTGACCCAGGCTTCAGGCCTGGGCAAGGGGACCATCATATCCCCCCAATCCCCGGCTCCGCCCCCCACCCAGGCCTGATGCCTCGGCCAGAGGAGTTGACCCTCATCACCCTCCGATCACCAATCACCAGATCGGCCCCTTGACCAGGCCTGAGGCCTCCGGCAGAGGTGTCAGGCCTGGGCGGGGGACCCCCAGCTCCCCGCGGTTGCAGGCTCCGCCCCTGTCCAGGCCTAACGCCTCTGGCTGAGGTGTCCAGCCCAGGCAGCGGGGACCTGCAGTGGCAGCGGGGGGCGCCATGATAGTGGGCTTCGCTTTAGGCCCAGGCAAGGGACCCCTAGCTCCTGGGACTGCCAGCTTCATCCGTGCCCAGCTCCCATCGCTGGCTCCACCCCTACTTCCTGCTATCACTGGCCAGGGCGGAAAAGGCGCCTGATTCTCCGATCATGGCTGGAGGGCAGGGCAAAGGCGGCCCCAGGGCCGCCTTTGCCCTGCCCCCCAGCTCTTAGCTCCCCCCTGGGTTTCCGATCACTGTCAGTGGCAGGGGGCTTCTTCCTGCTTTCCCTTTCGCCTCCCTGCATTGTGCCTACATATGCAAATTAGCCGCCATCTTGTTGGCAGTTAACCGCCAATCTTAGTTGGCAGTTAGTTTGCATATAGCCCTGATTAGCCAATGAAAATGGTATCGCCGTACGCCAATTACCATTTTTCTCTTTTATTAGTGTAGATAATGGAAAAAAGCTGCACATAATCTCAAAGTAGAATGCCCTAAAGATATTATTACGTTCAGTTCAAAGAATTGAATGTGTATTAACATCTTAATTCTAATGCCTACAAGCTTGCAAATGTGCCCAAACTATCAAATTTTTAAGTCAAAAACATAATTTTTTAAAAAATCTTACATTCTGTCCTGCCAATGAGTAAATAAGGAAGAATGTCACCCTTGACAACTGCTTCTGCTACATCATCATTATAATGATCCAGTCTCCCAAAAGCCAAAGCAGCAGTCTATTGAATTGTTGGGACCATGTCCAGAAGAGGCCTCAGCAAAGACATTGCACCTGAGTGAAATTATGAAAAAAAGAAATCAGCAAAACTTAAATTAAAAAGCAAAACTACAATTTAGCATAGTATAGCCAAATAAAAAATTAAGGGAAAAATCAGCAAAAACAAAAAATTAGCCACTGAAAACTAACTAATGGGATATTTAGAAGCATATAATTGGCTAAGACACAGAATAATAAAACCTGTAATTATCAAAGAAGCAGCATAGTGTGGAAATAAGAACGGCTTTGGGTTTAGAGAATTTAAATCCCTGATTTGCAAATACTAGCTATGTGACCTGACAGGGCTGTCCGGACTAATGCAAAGAAAAGTTGTGAAGCACATTGTATAATGCCACCCTCAGCCTTTGTGAATTATATCTTTCAGAGCTGAGTTCAGATTATTTCATCTCAGTGAAGTCTTTCATTTGTGTGGTGTTTTGTTTTGGGGTTGTTTCTTTTCTCTAACTGTTGGGTCTTTCCCTGGTTCCAAATGAACTTAGAGTTTATTACGGAAATTTTATCGGGATCTATCACAGGGCCAGGGAGCAGGAGGGCCATTTGGCTAGGACCTCACATTCATGAAGAGCTGCAAATCATATTGCTGACATTATCTCCAAAAAATAAATTCTTTGATAGAAGAAAGTATATTGTATTATGAGGTCTCACAATATCATTTTAGGATTGTCTACACCGTAGGTTTATCATCCTCACAACAATAATAAAAACAGTTTATATTTGCAGAGCACTTGTATGCATGCATTGTTTTCAAAATTTGTTTTCCATATTAATTTACTGACCTCTCATAACAAACCTATGATGCAGGCCTTATTATTATGTCTATTATACAGATGAGGACATTGAGACTGAGCAGCGGTTCTCAACCTGTGGATCGCGACCCCTTTGGGGGTCGAACGACCCTTTCACAGGGGTCGCCTAAGACCATCAAAAAACACATATATAATTACATATTGTTTTTGTGATTAATCACTATGCTTTAATTATGTTCAATTTGTAACAACGAAATTGGGGGTCACCACAACATGAGAAACTGTATTAAAGGGTTGCAGCATTAGGAAGGTTGAGAACCACTGATCTAGAAACTGTTAAACTATTTTCTACAGAAGCTGAACCATTTTACATTCCAACCAGCAAAGTGCAAGGGTTCAGATTTCTCCATATCCTCACCATCACTCATTTCCCATGTTGTTTCAAAATAATAGGCATCCTAATAGGTATGAAGTGGTATGCCATTGTGGTTTTGATTTACATTTCCCTAGCACTAATGATGGTGAATGTCTTTTCATGTGCTTGTGTATTGGCCATTTGTACATCATCTTTGCTGAAATGTCTATTCAAGTCCTGTGCCCATTTTTAAATTAGGTTGTTGTTGTTGTTGAATATAACTTGAAATTTTTTATAATAAATATGCACCATTTTAAAAAGAAGAGCAAAGAAAAAGAAAAGCTAAATTTGTTTACATATATTTAAAGTTTCATAGTAAATATATTAATGAGGCAAAAATATAAACTATAAGTATACTTAGAATAGTTGTAAGAGAATCACAATTTAAAAAATAAAAGAATCATGATTATGGTTCATGTTATTTTTTTTCTGATGATTCTGGTATTTCCTTTTTTTCCTTACTTGATAAATTTATGTGAAGTAGCTTATTGTCTTTTGAAATATAATTGGAAAATCAATACATACTGGATTATTCCACCTAAATATTTCAAATTAAAATCTCAAGAACTTTAAATTTCCATGGTAAGAATTTGATGAATTCATCTATTTAAGTATATAATATTTAACTTAATTATGTGTTTATTATTACTTACAGTACTTAGCTAATATACCAAAAGCCTCCAATTTGGGAAAATTTCAGTTTGCAATTTTAGCATTAAAATATTTTACCCCCCCCCAAAGTGTATTTTACTTGTCCATATACTCAAAGGAATTTTCTGCTTTCTCCTCCATTTTTCTATTGCATCTGGACTAAGAAAATAATGTCCACAAAATGACACATAATTCCTTTCCTTCTATTCCTGTTTTCATTATCCAAGTTAGGCTCCTGCATGGAACTTCTGCTCTATCATACTTTTCCTGTATTCCTTAGTCCAAACAGTAGCATAATGAGGATTTTGAAAAAAATTTAATCTCTGAACCTATACAAGTAAAAGCTAAAATTTCCATTTAAAATATCTGTTTAGAGGGTGGGGGCAGGTAGATGAGGGTAAACGGGGGATAAATGGTGATGGAAGAAGATTAGACTTTGGATGGTAAACACACAATACATTATACAGATGATGTGTTATAGAATTGTACACTTGAAACCTATGTAATTTTATTAACCAATGTAACCCAAATAAATTGAATAATAAATAAATATCTTTGTTTGAATAAGATCATTCTTTAGGGAAAATACGGCCCCTAATATCTAGTCCTTAAATTTTCTCTTAGTGGTTTATTATCAATCATTAAGTCCCCAGGGACATGATTTTTATCTCTTACACAGCATGGATGGAAACTTTGTTATTTAATTACAGGTTTGTCCTAACAATACAGATAATGATATAAGAGACACTGAGAGACAAAAGGGGTAAAAGGAGGGGAAGGGAAGACAGGGGGAAATAAGAATATATAACATAAAAAGAAATTTTTTCTTACCTGCCTGTCCATTAGGAATCCATAGTGATTGATCCTTGGTGAGCAAAGGCATGAAAATTTGGAATCCAGAAATTACAGCACTCTGAAATAGTTGCTATAATAACTCTAGGGAGCAGCTAATGACTTCATTGGGGTCTTTACTGAAGGAGCCAACATCTATCTAATACCTAATATTAAAATAATTCACATATTGTACTCTAATATTTGTAAAATAATTTAGTGTACTCTATACAAACTGATAAAATAGTGTGAAACCATTTTTGAACTTTAACTTATAGGCTACATCTTTACAATCCTCCCCTACTCCCAGCTTTATGGTTTTGAGCTCCTTTGGTATTTTTCTTGTTCCAGTGCCATACTGGAGACATGGCTGCTAATACCTACGTTGCAATCTAGTTATGCCCCAAACAAAAACAACTTTGCTAATCCTGCCCACAATCATTCATTCAAAAAACAGATCAGGGTTTACCAAGCGGCAAGGAATAGAACTACATACATGAGTTAAGGCAGCTCCTACTCTCGAGAACCTAATAATCAAGTGGAGAATATAAAATAGCCTCAAAATAATCCCAGCTCCTTCCTTTAATTCCTTTCAATGCAACATAGGCCTAATTACTTTGATTTTGCATGCCTACTGCATATATAAATCAGGAAGAAAATGTCAAACATCTCCAAAGACAAAAAAAATTACTCAAATTACTCATTCATTCTCATGTTACATATATATGATTTATATACATATTACCCCAATCTTCTGTTTATAAAGATATTTAACATCTCAACTTTGTTTCTTTAAAAACAAGTGTCTGTCCCGGCCAGTGTGGTTCAGTGGTTGAGTGTAGACCTATGAACCAGAAGGTCACTATTTGATTCCCAGTCAGGGCACGTGCCGAGGTTGTGGCCTCAATCCCCAGTATGGGGTGTGCAGGAGGCAGCCTATCAATGATTCTCTTTCATCACTAATGTTTCTATCTCTCTCCTTCTTAGTTCCTCTCTCTAAAATCAATCTTTTTTTAAATATTTTATTGATTTTTTACAGAGAGGAAGGGAGAGGGATAGAGAGTTAGAAACATCGATGAGAGAGAAACATCGATCAGCTGCCTCCTGCACACCCCCCACTGGGGACGTGCCCGCAACCAAGGTACATGCCCTTGACCGGAATCGAACCTGGAACCCTTCAGTCCGCAGGCCGACGCTCTATCCACTGAGCCAAACAGGTCAGGGTTAAAATCAATCTTTAAAAGACATATTAAAAAAATAAAGATTTGTTTGCCCTGGTTACTTCTTATTTTCTTTTGCAATTTTTTATTGTATTTATTTTGTGGTAAAGCATACATAGCAAAATTTTTATTTTAACCATTTTTAGATGTACAATTCAGTGGCATTAAATACAGTTAGAATGTTGTGTAACCATCACCCATTATTATTTTCAGAACTTTTTCATCATCCCTAACAGATATTCTATACAAATTAAACACTAACTCCCAATTTCTTCCTACGCCCATTGCCTTATAACCTCTATTCTACTTTCTATCTCTTTGAATTTGTTTACTACAGAAACCTCATATAAATGGAATCATATAATATTTGTCCTTTTTTGCCTGGCTTATTTCAAACTTAGCATGTTTTCAAGGTTCATCTGTTGTAGCATGTATCAGAATTTCATTACCTTTGTAAGATGAATACCATTCGATTGTATACACAACGTTTTGTTTGTCCATTCATCTATTTCCACCTTTTGGTTATTGTGAATAATGCTGCTATGAACATTGGTGTACACATATCCATTTAAGTCCCAGCTTTCTATTCTTTTTACTGTGGACCTTGAAGTGGAATTTTTGGATCAAATGGTAATTCTTTATTTAACTTTTGAGGAACCATCAAACTGTTTTCCACAATGGCTGCACCATTTTACATTCCCACCATCAAAGCACAAGGGTTCCAATTCCTCCACATTCTTACCAACATGTATTTTGTTGTTGTTTTCAATAATGTGTGTGAAATGGTATCTCACTGTGGTTTGATTTGCATTTCTCTAATGACTAATGATATTGAGTATCTATTCATGTGCTTATTGGCCATTTTTACAACTTCTTTGGAGAAATGTCTATTGGAAATTTTTGGCCATTTTTGATTCAAGTTGTTTGGAGTTTTTTGTTGAATCTTAGGAGTTCTATATATATATTCTGGATATTAATCTCTTATCATATATATTCTTTGCAAATATATCCTTCTATTCTGTGAGCTATCTTTTTAGTCTCTTGGTATTGTCCTTTGATGCCCTTCTATATTTTTTTGACTTAAATATGAAGTTATTTCTACCATATATATTCTTTGCTTTCCAATTTTATTCAAAATTATCACAAACTTATAAAATATGTTAAAGATGTATTATTGCAAATTTTTACTTTTGCTATTATTAATAAAAATAATTATTATTTATTATTGCAAATGTTTTATTTTTATCTAAAACTACTTTTTATATGACCATTTACTATGAAATTGCACTATAGTTCATTCAAGCTTTGGAAGAAGTGATTTTTGCATACAATTAACCAATACAAAACAAAGAATTTACCTTTGACTGTCAATGTTACTACTTGATCCAGGCATTCTGTTTGAAGTCCAATGAGAATATTAAAGAAATTCCATGCTTTAAAAATAGAAGGAATCACTTGCCCTGCTTGTTACATGAATGTCTATGTTGACAAACAATAGACTGAGGTAATTAGAGCCTGTATCTGAAGGTAAACTGATTGGGTTCAAATTTGGGTGCTGCCATTTCCTTGCGGTGGAACTCAGCAAGGTTACTTAACATCTCTGTGTCTCAGTTTCACGATAGGTAAAATGGTGGTAAATTCTAAGACTACCTCATAAAATTGTTGTGAGAATTAAAATGAAGTAACATTTCTAAAGTGGTGGAACATGAGTTGGGATAAAATAAACACAAGTGCTTGTTAAATAACATACAGTAGAGCAGGCTTTAAAGAACACAGAAAAGGCAACCCAGGAGCAGTGACATCTAAGTTGAGATCCAAAGGCTTTGGGGGAAGATTGCCTGCTAAAAATTTGGAGGGAGTAGTGAGGTAAGTGGACTGCAGAGTATTCCAACCAGAAGGAACTATATAAATGAAGCTCAAAACAAAAAAGTTTGATGTGTTGACAAAAATGAGACTGCATTATGACTACAGTGTAAGAGTGGAGAGAGAAGGTTGGAGAAAGAAGGCTAAGAAATTAACAGAAACCAAAATCCTGAAGTATTTTGAATTGAATCTGAACATTAATGTCAGTATGCTGAAAGAATCAGATTTGCACTTTGTAAAGGAGGCTCCCTCTGATTACGCTGGGAAGAAAGGATAAACACAGGCAAGACTGGAGGCAGGAAGACCACTTGGGAAGCTGCTGTAGGAACCTACACTGAATGTGAAGATAGCCTGGAAAACAGCAATGGCAAAAGGGGAGGAGACAAGGGAGATATTTAGAAGGAAAACTGATTAGTGTGAGGAAGACGGAGAAATTGGTGACACTTCAGGTTTCTGGCTTGAACAAGGAGTGCATGATGGTGGCGGACTGTAGAAGAAGCCATGAGAAAGTCAGACCATCCTCAAATGTCAAGTGGGGGGTGACTTGGCAAGAAATAAAGCAGGAGAGCTTGGTTGGGGCCAGATGAAATTTGGCTACTGGTCAAATTAAGATTTTGTGATGTTATTCTAAATGAAATGGGAAGCCATGGGGAGCTTTATTGTTTACATCACTTACTCTCAGGGAAATAAATGAAAATGAAGACTGAGTAATCCCCAGGTCCGCCATGAATGGCCGAGCAGGCTGTGTGCTGCGCAAGTCCAGGGGATGACACTCACATAGATCATGATATAAATGGTACACCCAAAGTCATGCAAAGCACAGCAGCCATCTTTGACATAGCATCTTACGTGGTTCTCTAGTTTGTTTATGTAAATAAATTGCTTATTTCTATAGTAAAACAATAAATATCTCCAGAGAAGAGCTCGTGTTATACTTGTTTCCTGTTTCTCAAATTACCTAGCGCGGTCCTGAACACACAGCCAGCTCTTACTGAACAACGTGTGGTCTTGGCTCCCGAAACCACCACTCACTTTGATTTCACTGCTGTAAGCACTATCTGTTCTACCCCAGAGTAACTCCAACTACACGTACTAACTTTAGTAGATTTAAAATTTTTATTTCTATAATAAGATATTATATTTACATGATTATACTTTTACTGAAGTAAGTGTCATGACACTGATGAATTTTATAACTATTTCTCATTTTATAACTATTTCTCATTTTCCTTCACTGGTCATCTTTTATTTGAAAATATTTAAGCATGTCTCCCCCCCCTTGCATTTTTTTTAGAGTAAAAATTTTCATGAACTGGTTTCATGATTTGGTTTCTTCCCGCCCCTATGATTACATACCTCTGGCCACTATTCCTGCATTTGATTTAAAAATATATAAATTTTGGTATCACATGTCTGTTTTGTTTTCTGTATAATACTTTTTCACTGCTATTACTATCAAATCAATTATGATTTTAGGTGTTATATCCCTTACAAAACAGAGTCTTATAATTTATTTAAAGGGTCAGAATGAATCACAAATCATATGTAGTTTTTTTACATTATGATCCAAAGTAGTCCATTTCTCCTTTTTAAATTATTCTCATTGTAATTAATACTACAGTTAGCATCTTCTGAATTTTGTTTGGTGATTCACTGTTAACTCAGTTGTTTATGAGTGAAGGGCTACCATGCTTGTAATGTCATTTTTGAGTGGGGGAAGGTGAAAGGAAGATGAGACCAAGATCACTGACTCACTGAACAAGCTAGCAACTCTTTGAAGAGGGCAAGGAAGCACAGCATGCATTTATTTACTTATTTAACTTATACTTATATAGCACTTACCATTTACCAATGAAACTGGCCTATTGCCAGGTTTAGAATGCATACCAAAGGGTATAATCTCTGAATTGATATTATTCTGCCATTAACATTACTGTAGCTGTCTTCCATGATTACTGTATTAAACTAA